GCAAATGTGTTTGGGCCTGAAAAATATTAAGATGTATATTTTATAGTGACGGAGAAGTGTCGGGGCATGTCAGAGGTACGACATATTTTGAAGTGTCGGTGTTACATATGAGAGGGAGTGCAAACTTTTGATGGAGAGGGTTGGGCTGAAAATTGGAGGGATTGTACAAGGAACATGGAATAACACAGGAGGAAAGAGGAAGGAGGGAATAGGGAGTGGGGTATGGATATGATCGAAGGAGAGAGTTTCACCCTAGGCACATAGGGTGAAATATCGAAGGAAGAGGAAGCTCGGGTGGTGATACAAGGGTTAGAAAACTGAATATGTCGATCTTCAAAGTAGAATATGCATATGGGTTGGTATATCTGGTGGAGCAATACTTTGCAGTAAATAAGTTAACTGAGGAAGAGAAGTTCATTGCAGCAGGATTATATTTGATGGGAAAAACTAGTGTGGTATCAGCGGATGGAGGCCAGGTATCTGATACACTCATTAAAGGAGTTTAAGGCTTGCTCATTGGAACATTGTCGAGCCATCCAGGAAGGAAACTTACATGAGCAATTTTATGCTTTGAATCAGGAGGGGGCTTTCACGAAATAAATGGAGAGGTTTGAGCTCTTATCGGGGTGGTTGAGGGGCATTTCTGCTGCAGGACTTAAGGGGAACTTCTTGAAGGGCCTCAAGCCCGAGATTTGAGAGGTCATCCGATCATTAAGAACGTGTGGATTGAGGAAAATGATGTAGCTCGCCTTAATGATGGAAGACATGAAACAATTAAAGAAGAAAAGCAAAAGTGGCGACACTGAAGGATTCTATGAGAGTGCCTTGACGGCCACAACACTGATGACCCAGACGATGTCGTTTTAGAAAGAGATGACAAAGGAGCATAATACGGGGGTTCGCTCCGGGACAATTTCAAGCGCCTCACTAATGCAGAAGTTCAGGATAAAAGAGCAGAAGGATTATGTTGCTGATGTGATAAGAAATATGTCACATGTCGCCCTTCAGTTCCTTTCAATTATGGAGAAGGACAAAAATTTGGAGGAATTAGAGGAAGATGCGGTGGAGGAGAAGGAGCATCTGCACTTAGATGTGGCGAAGATGTCCCTCAATTAAGTGGTGAGATTTACTCTGAATCACACTGTGAATGTGAGGGGATAGACAGGGGAGCAACCGATTGTGGTTTTTGTGGATGGTCAGGCCACACATAACTTCATCTCAAATTGGGTCGTGGATCAGTAGGGTTGCAGTTGGTAGCTACAGGGAACTTTGGTGTCATGATGGGGAAAGGGAAGGTGGAGAAAAGTCGGGGGATTTGTAAGGGATTGGTTCTGACACTCCATGACCTACAGGTGGTGGAGGACTTCTTTCACTTGGACTTGGGTGGCATAAATGTGATTTTGGGGATGAAGTGGCTGCAAATGCTTGGAGAGATGAAGGTGGACTGGAAATCACTGATGATGGAGTTCGAGGTGGAAGGTAGGGAGGTGCTGAGAGGAGATGCTTGCTTATGCAAAACCATGGTCTTCCTCAAAACTATGGCCAATTCAATATTTGGAGCAAGGATAGGCTATTTGGTAGAGTGCTGAACATTGAGGAGGTATGAGATCCCGAGTCGGCGAAGTTTCTCGTTATAAAAGCTAAAAGATCCAACTTGTCGTTTCTTTCACTATTTGCAGCCGCACTTCATATCTTGCAATTTAGTTACAATTTAACCTAGCCAAAAGCCAACAACGGGATAGTCGAGTACAAACGTGACTTAGCCTAGCGACACAGTTGCAGTTTTACATAGTTGGGAAGCTAACGACGACATCGTAGGCTTCAAAATGTAAATGCACGATAAAATTGTGATTTTTCCTAACTATGAAGCCGATGACGGGATCACGACATACAAAAGTTTTGCTTTTGTGATCTAAAACGGTCCTAGGAGTAATAGCGACAAGAAAGTAGATGCTTTAGGGGAGAAATTAGAGGAAGAAGTAGGCCAAATCAGATTTGTAATTAAGTGTTTCTTGTCCAAGGAAGGGTGGTTCTCCTTCATGGAGGTGAGATTCTCAGGCTACATGATGAAGAAGAATGCAGCTTGCAGTAGGATCGAGCGATAGCATATAGAGAGAATGAGAGTGGCAACAACCAGAAGTATTCACACAATGTTAGGGCAATGTTGTTGCCTTAGGTGGATTTGGACCTGTGGGATCAAGTGAAGGAATTAGGAGCAGACTCGAGCGACAATACTTGGAAGGAATAACTTGACATCTTGACGGTCGGAACGAATGTTAGGAAGTGGAATAGGAAGGCGTTCGATTCAGGGCTAAAGAAGATTGATTCAAATGATTTCTACATGGAAAATAGAATTGTGGTGGGTGGTGCCCCGGCTAGGGGCCTCTTACAATCACGCTAATGCCTTTTACTGCGGTAGCGTTCCAGATGAAATGGGATTCATGGCCTATGGGGACGAGCGAGTAGATTATGTGCTGAGCCAGACTTATGGAAGAAGAGAAATCAATATGGGTCAAGGAAGTGAAATCAACCCTCGCTTCATGGGTAAAATGAACTTCGGTCAAGGAAATTGGGTGGAGACTCTCACATAAGTAAGCTGAAGATATTGATCTTTAAAGGAGAGGATGACTATAATTGGGTCTATTAGGTGGAGGGATATTTTGCTGTTTATGGGTTGACAGAGGAAGAAAATTGATGACGGTAACTTTGTGTTAGAAAGTGAAGGCTCCAGCGGGGTATCAATGAAGAGAATAGCGTCAGCCAATCAGAGCATGAGAAGAATTCATGTACTGATTGTTGGAGCATTTCAGAACTACTTGGAAAAGAGATTTATACGAGCAGTTTTTTGTATTGATCTAGGAAGGCTTCTTCATGGATTATGGGGAGAAATTTGAGATGATATCCGATCATTTGACGGGGATACCAAAAGAAGTGTTGGAAGAAATTTTCGTGAAGGGTTCAAGCCAGATATTTGAGCATCACTTCATCTGATGAGAGTGTGAGATTGGGGAAAACTACGGAGTTAGTGCAGTTAGCTGAAGATAAAAATGTAATGGAACGGGTTAATATAAGCAACACAACTGGTGCGTCAACCCAAAATGTTACAAACACAATGATACGAAAAACTCAAACTGTGAAAGTCTTGAAGGAGGCCCACGAGATAGGAATAATGGGCCACAATTGGGGGCAACATTGAAACGCCTTATAGAGATAGAGAGCAGGAGAAGCAAGCCAATGTGTTATGTTTTTTGTGTGATGAGAAGTTTGTCTCTGAACACCGTTGTAATGATCAAATATTACAGGTTCTCACAGTGTGTGATGATGAGATATGGGAGGAAGAAACAAAAGAGGTTGCGGTAGAGCTGGAGGAACACTTTCACTTGAATGTGACATAAGTCTCATTGAATTCAGTGGTGGTGTTAACACCGAACCACACTATAAAACTTCAGGGACATATTAGAGAGTTGGACGTAGTGGTTAGTGGATAGTGGGGCCACCCATTATTTCATCTCTACTCAAGTAGTGAAGTATTTCGGGCTTGAGATAGTTGACATATAAAGTTTTGGAGTCATGATGGGGACATGACAGTGGAGGAGAGCAGGGGATTTTGTAAAGGAGTGATTTTAAAACTACAATGTCAGGTGATGGAGGATATTCTTTCTTTGAATTTAGGGAGCAATGTTGTAATATTGGGGATGAAATGGTTGCAGTCTTTAGGAGAGATTAAGATGAATTGGAAACTCCAAACAATGGAGTTTTCAGAGGGAGACTGTATGGTGGTGCTTCGTGGTGACTCTAGTTTGTGCAAGACTTTGGTGTCGACAAATCTATCGAAGGTGACAACTATGTTGGAGTGGCCACTACCTAAGAACTTGAAGTGGTTGAAAAGATTTCTGGCACTTACAGGATACTATCAGAAGTTTGTGAATGATTGTAATTCAATTGTGTGACTGTTAAGGGAGAAATTGAAGAAGGGTAACTTTCAGTGAGGAAAGCGGCGACCTAGACTTTTGAGAAGTTAAAGAAGGTTATAACATGTGTGTTAATGTTGGCGTTATTTTATTTTAGCTATTTTTTTATTGTAGAGACTAATGCTTCAAGCTATTTATTAGGTGCAACCCTCATGCAGTGTCAATGCCCCATCTCTTATCTCAATCAATTGTTGATTGTGAGAGTCAGACTCAAACAATTTATAACTGGGAGCCATACGACTTGATCCATAAACAATTTTTTTTTTCCACCTTGAAGACAAAATACCTTTTTTGGGAGGGGAATAATGTTAGACTGGCGCCTAATTGTAATTAAATCTTTTATTAGTTGTTATTGTGGGGTATAAATATGGCTTATTATGCTTAGGGTTAGGTTATGCTATGTGATTGTTGTCTTGAATCTGAGGGTTAAGGTTCGGGAGATATCATTTACCTTTCAAATTGTAGGTTTTAGGGTTATAGTTTGTGAGAGATCGCTCTTGATTTGAAGTGTTTTTCTTTTATGTATTTGGGTTATGTTGTTTTGTGCTTGTGAAATAAAATATTTTATTTTGCCTTAATTTTTACAGAAGTTCATATCATAATCCCTATACTGGAAGACCATATTTCATTTGCTCCATTTCATGAAGTTTGTTATATGCTTTCAAACTCAATTTTGATCGATTCACCTTATTCACTATTTAAAACAAGAAAGTAAAAGATGTCTCAGATAATAATTCTTTTATTTGTGGATATGGTTATTTATTTTGAATGATCTTTAATCAAGTTTGACTGATAGGGCTTACATATTTTAAGTTGGTACTTCTTAGAGAAACCTATAATCCTGGTTGGAGAATTGCTTTTTTTATGGGGTTTATTTAAGACAAGTTTTAGGTCTTCCTCGTAAATTTGAACTTTTAGTATGCTATCCTTAATGATACTTATCATTATATTCCTCATATAATCTATATCAGAATAATCCTTTTTCTTACACAACCATAAGGTTTTCATCTTAATTATTTTTGTTTAAAGGTTGCAGAAAGTACCAAATCAAAGGTTGCTCGGGTCAAGGTAGGTTTGCTCAAGTATATAAAGCTTATGTTGATGGCAACGCTGATGATGTTGTTGCCCTAAAGGTTATTATACACTCTCCGTATCCGTTATGGTGTTCTGCTGTTATAATTTAGAACCAAGATTTACCATTCTATTTTCTATAGATTCAAAGGCCTGCTTTTCCTTGGGAGTTCTACATGTATCGTCAGCTTGATGAGCGCATTCACTCTGAGCAAGTAAACTATCGACTGTTTGCTACAATTTTGGTGAGTGGTTGTATTTTCCTTTACTACAGTAATAATATATACTATCTTTTCTGTCAGAGGTCAAGCTTTGGCCTTGCCCATAGGGTACATATCTATGCTGATTCAAGCATTTTGGTGACAGACTACTTGTCACATGGAACTCTTCAGGTAAAAATACATCTGCTAGACATATTTATGAATTTCTTCTAACTTCACTTTGTCCTAGTGTGCCTTTGTATTATGGGGCATTTACATACATACAACCCAATTCCTATGTCTTTACATATCCAACAACCAAAATTTACTTTTTACATTTATAAACACCCAAATCTTTTATATCACATAAAAAATATCACTATTTTAACTCTTAAAAGTGAAATACACTTTTTCATACTCAGGTAAGGTGACATGTTATGTGAAAATTGAAGTTTAGGTGTTTGATAGATATGTATAGACATAGGAATTGAGTGGTATGTATTTTTTTTTTTTTTCTTCTTTTTTTTTTTTTTTTTTTTTTTTTTTTTTTTTTTTTTTTTTTTTTTTTTTTTTTTTTTTTTTTTGCGAACTAGAGATTTGGATACATGTTCTTATCGATCTTCTCATACAATCCTTTCACAGGATGCTATAAATTCACATTTGGTTACACAAAAGCTCATGGAAGAAGTACTATGCATCCACTACACGATAGAAATGCTTCGCATGTTGGAGACTTTGCATAGTGTCGGTATAATTCATGGCGATTTTAAACCAGACAATTTACTTGTCCGTTATGCTAGGTAACCATAGTTTGCTCTTCAGACCGTTATAGAACAGACTTTTTGTAACTTTTTTTACTTTGGATCCCTTCCATTAGGTCGTAGCTTTTTTTTTCCTAGATTTTAGTCACTTGTGCTTTTAGTAATTGAACACCATTGTATGTGCATTTACTATGCATTACTCTATTCCACTTCTACAAATCCTGGTACCACTCGAGGATTTGGAATGGTACAAATGAAGAAACTGAAGCTCTTTACCCCTTTCCGCTTGTTTAGAATGCTCGTAACACTTGGTTTTTCTATTTTAAATTTTAGTTCGAAGTTTTAAATCTTTATAGACGACATAGTGACTGCATTCTTTGATCATGGAAATTGAGCAGAACTACTTGGAGAAAATGTTACTGAGGGATCTGGTGAAATGATATTGGGACACTTGTATTCTAAAGCTTCTAAAAACTTTATTTTTGATACTGTATAGATAAAGTAAACATGTCTAATGAAAGTGTTCATTCATTTTATCTTGAAGCGTCTTAGAAGACTCGGATTCCATGAATTTGTACATTTCTCTTGTACTATTTGTCTTTTAACGACCTATGCTACTTAATTTGATTTTGGTTTTGAGTAGCATTGAAATGTTCTGCATTTCTTAATGATTAAATGCTGAAGTATCTCCTAATTATTGTTTTAATCTACAGTACAACTAAGATTTCTCCCATCATTGTCGTTTAAAAAATATTTCTGCCGGTATCGCCAAATTAATTCGATCGCTTTTGTTTATAATGGTTGGATTTCATCTATATGCAATTATGAGCTATTTATGTCGCTGTAGGACCCCCCTCCCCCTTGTTGAATTTATTTTCTTGTCAACAATTGTCTCCTTAACCTCTAACTTTTTTGTTTTTTTTTTAACATAAAAATTTTCTCATGTAGTAATGGGAGAACTTAATTTTTTTCTATGCTTGTAATAAATCTTTAATCCTGCAATCCCAGAGCTTCTCTAGGGCTATTGCCATGCACAGATGTTTGACCTCATGGGCTTGTTCGATTGGTCTATTCATGTATGCTAAGTGACGATAGTCTATAAAGAATTGATTGCTCTTGAAAACTTACCCATTTCATTCTTGGGCTTATATAGAGCTTTACAATATTTACAAATAAATTCCTAGACATAGATTTCTCCTATTTACAAATAAAACCTTACATTATATACATATCTCAACACTCCCCCTCAAGATAGACAAAAGATATCCATTAAACTCATCTTGTCACATAACTTAGACAAATCTAAGGAGCTAAGTCATTTGATGAGGCAGTGAGCCACTTGCTCTCCGGTAACTACTTGACTTAGCTTCAGTAGTTCGTTATTCAGCTTTTCCTTGATGAAGAACCTATTAATCTCCACATGTTTGGTTCTATCATGTTGCACCTTGTGGTTAGCAATGTTGATCACTGAATTGTTGTTGCACCACAAGTTTATTTGAGCTCATTGGTCCACCTTGAGCTCTACCAAGGCTCTCGAACACATCATCTCAGCAACTCTTAAGGTCGTGGTCTTATACTCACTCTGTTGTTGACCTCGCTACTATTGACTATTTCTTGCTCTTCCAAGTGACCAAGTTGCCCCCGACGAACATGCAGTATCCAGATGTGGATCTCCTATCATCCATACAATAATTAGCTCAGTTGGAGTCGTAATAGCCCTCAATGCTTACATGTCCATGTTGACCTCATTTTTAGTGAGGTCTGGTCTTCCTCTTAGGGTTTAGGATCTAGCCTTAGGGATCTCCCTTTGACTATCTTAGAACCTTAGAAGTGGTGCCCGCCTCGTTCTAATTCGACCTATTTCCGTCCTCTTTTGTGGTTCCAAGTGTGTGGTATCGACTTCTAGCATTTAGAAGGGTGAAACCAACATGAGGAAACCCAAAAGGGATCCCTATAGGACCTTTTTGAGCCTTAGGGTGGCCTTCTGCACAATTCGCACTCCCGCGCGCACAAACTTCGCAATTCGGAGAGCCAACACGTCCGATCGCCATAATTCACATCGCTTGCACTGTTACCCGTCGAAGACTCGAATGAAATTTTTGAAACAATCGATCGCGGGTCAATATTTTTGTGAAATTTGAATTTCGACGCGTTTTTGACCCGACCGTCGACGACGTCGTCCGAGCGATCCCGGATGACGAAACGGACTGCGCCAACGCGTCCGGAACGTCAATTTTGCCTAGGGAGGACACCTATTTTGTCGCATCGTCGTGCGCGGGTAAAATGTGTTTTAATTAATATATATATATATATATATATTTATATGTATATATATATTTATATATATGTGTTAGGTTAAATCTTTTACCTGATCTCCCCTTTCCTCTTTCGGCCCTGACTCCCCTGATGCGCGCTCCCGAGCTCTTCTCCTTTCCCTC